TTTTTTTTTTTTTTTTTTTTTTTTTTTTTTTTTGCAAGAGTTTTTTTTTTATTGTAGGGAAGAATCTTTTGAAATCAGTAAAGAATAACGGGATTGAAAATACTGACTTTGAACAGTCTTTAAAGCAGCGTTTTAAATGATTTTTGCAAAAAAACCAAAACTCATATTTTTCAATTTTAGCTGCTCTTTATTATATTCCAGTCAAAATATGTCTATACGGCAGTTATAATAGATGAAAAATTCCAAATTTTTTCAACCTAGCAAGAAGTCCGCCTCCAACAATGATGCTATTATTATTTTTTTAGGTGGCAGAACTCTATTAGGCATTCTTTGAGTTTCAACGACTGCTTTGTGAAAGTACCGAGGTAAGTTGTGCTAAATTATACTTTTGCTAATGTCCACCCTGATCACTGGCCATTATTCATTGTTTTATGATCGAAAAGAGGATAAGTTGTAATCAACAAATATTGTCCAATTATTTTTCACTGCATCAAAAATTTTGTTTTAGAACTCCTGATAAGCCGGGTAAAGGAAGTTTTTGGACACTTCATGAAGACTGCGGTAATATGTTCGAAAATGGTTGTTATTTGCGAAGGCAAAAACGTTTTAAAATTGGCGAGGGTAAACCAAGAAACAAAAAAGTTAGTGCCCAAAAAACGTTTATTGAAAGGGAAAATAATTTATTTGAAAAATTGCATTAAATAAAGATTTTATTTGATCTTTAATTATAAACATTTTTTGCAGAACGGTCATCGTGGTAGCAGCAACAGCAACAACGCCAATACACATGTTAAAGAGGAAAATGATACTGAATATGATGCCAAAAACCTTTTGAGTAATAACGAAATGAAGATGTCCCCATCGTCTCAGCAAAGCTCTCAAGCCGGTCCACAGCCAGCTCAAACGCAACAACAGCAACCTCCCACTGCCTGCTCGCCGACTAGCGAGGTAGTGCACTAAAGCAAATCAGTAATTTTCGTTGAGACTTTCAACAGTATTTTTCCAGTTAACAAGCTACGATTTTTTTAAGTCAGAAACACATGGAGCTCCTGGAGAACAGAGTAATTTACAACGTCAGGGCGGACTCCAGAATAGCAGCACAACACAACAACAGACCATGCAAAGCCAAATGCAACTGTCTGCAACTTCATCTATGCCTACATCAGTGGCAAATAGCCAGCCGACGAGTGTCATATCTGCTGTTGGTAGTGTTCCTGTAAGCCACTTTTATCTGAAGTCAGAGCAAAAAAAAAAATTTTTTTTTTATTGTTATCTACATTTATTTATAGTTCAACTAAATAAAGTTCTTCTTCTTTTTTTTGGTTTTCAATGGTTGTTCAGATACAATAACTGCTGTTCAGATGACTTATGGAGGTCAGTACCCAGCTTTTGGAATATATTCAAACGGCAGTGTTAGCACTTTCGGCGATCTGTCTCAAACGTCTTTGCCCGGCTTGAATTCAGGTTTTCGGATTGGAAATTTGATTGACAACTGCAGTAACGTTTACAACAGCGTCTATGCTACCCAACCGACAACTAATCTTGCGGAGTATCCTTACCAACAGACACTTTACAGGTTTATTCTTTCATTCTGCTTGATTTTTTCAGCAAACTTAAATTTCTGGATTATTTTTGACATTAGAAAATCACTTACTAGGTTTGTTCTCATAAATAAAAAAAGAAAAAACAAAAAACCAAAGTTCTTGAAGTTTTTTTCTAATTTCAGCTCAAACAATCCAAACTCGCTGCCGAATTTGTAAATTTTCGCAGAGTTCATTGGGCGGCTGTTAAAACAATTTGAAGAAAAAAAGCATATCTGTCGACAATATTTTCAATGGTTCTATCTTCGGGTTGACTTTTTTTTTTTAATATATCATTGAAATATTTGAAATGAAAAGCTGCTGAGATTCTTGCTCAGCAATTTTCATATTGTATAATTATGCAGAAATTTAGGAACGTAGTAAATCGTTAAAGTTGTTTTTGTTTTAATATCATTTTCACCGTAAATGCCTTAATTGAGATCTGTAATGGAAGCAGAAAAACAAAACAAAAC